GCCCGGCGGCTGGTGGGGCGCATCAGCCGATGTAGATCCTGTGGAAGTCGTTGGCACCGAAGGCAGCGTTGCACTTGGGGCACTTGCGCTGCCGGGTGTCGTAGCGCGTCTTCACGCACTCGAAGCAGAAGACGTGGAAGCACTTTGTGAGCACAGCGTCCTTCTTGCGCATGTTGCAGCAGGGGCAGGTCAGCCGGGCCTGCGGGGCAGAGAGCAGAGTGAGGGCACGACACACTGCACTGGCCGTGTTAAAAGACGACTGGTGGTGAAGGTCCTTCCGCTCCTCACAAGGAGGAGGTGGCTTCTTCAGTGCCAAAGTACAGACAAGAGATGTCAAATGCTGAAAAGGTGACTACACAGCCTTTTAACTAAAGTAAAGAGAAATTTGACAGAGATTGCTACTCACCTTGTAATCCTTAATTTCTTCCATTAGTATCTCATCACAGTTGGGAACCATGTCAGGCTTCTTAGTGGTCTCCAGCTTCCTGCGTAACCTAGAAATATCTTCCTGCATAAAAACAAGAGACCAAACAAATGAGCAGTATATTCTCTGTCACAGCTTCTCCAGGGACCAAAGAGAACCAGTACATGGCCAACAGTGCACCTGGCTAAGTCACTCAACTCATACTTTCATCCTAAATAGTTCAGCAGACTTACAACAGATGACATTACCACCTAGTGCCACATTGTCAGTTATCAGTGGACAAAACACAAAAGAGCCAAGACCCAAGGAAGCTGGGATCAAATTGAAACTAGATGCCCAAAAAATCAGTGTAGTTAGAACCCACTCCAAGTCAGTGCACAGGAGGACAGACATGAAAGCAGACAGATATTGAAAGATCTGCCTGTGCATGAAGAATGTACCTCAGCCCTTTTGAAGTTGAACATCTCCTTCTCTCTAGTTACTCTGTTTTCCACAATTTCGTCCTGGAAGTCATGTAACTTCTTCTGAGCCAGCTCCAGCTGGGCTTTCAGATCATCTGCAAGCTGGGCTGCATCCATAGCCTGAAAAATAAAACCAGTACTGAAATAACAAACATGGGAAAAGAGCTCTAGTGATTTCTAGTCACTCTGCCTGGCAACTAAGACTGCTCACAGTCCTCTGGCTGCTGAGTATCTGTCTTTCCAATCTAATTTTGTTACTTCCAAATGGAGTAATTGGAATTGATCCCCAAACATTACTTCAACAGCAAAATATCTTAGTATTAACAAGTTCTAATCCTTTAGCTTCAATATTCCTGTCTGTAGAACCAACCCCTATCACACTGCAATGTGTGTCACTTAGGAAAATGCTGACCACAGTTTGCTTCTTGTTCAGGTATTTTCAGCCCTCCACCTTCTATATTTTCTCCACTAAACTGTCTAGAGGCAGTTCTACAGCTGGATTAGACAGAACTGAAAGATGTGTTCATTTTCTCTCTTCAGCAGTTCTATCACTTCGTGACTGTCCAATGAATCTCATATCTGAGCTCCCTCCATACCACTGATGATGGTATTAAGCACAAGTGATTGTGCTGAATTATCCCTCATCTCCTCTTCACAGTGGTATTTCTGCTTTACTTTGTCTGTTTTGATGTCATTTCTGCATTTCTACTAAAGGTTTAACAACAAAGGTACCATCAACCGTGAGACTTAGTCTTATTTTACTCCTAAGACCTACTTTATTTATCTTATCTAGATATTTGTTAAAGATCTTGACATTCCCCAGCCATATTTTTCTTTTACTTACCCCATCTTTACTATAAAGGTTTTTATCCCAGTTAACTTCATGCACCTGTTGCATCTTCTTTCAGGGTAGTTTTCCTTTTAAAGACACCTTACTCTAGCTCTATAATCAAGGCTTTCACAGAAACTCCTATTACTTCCTCCTCCTTCTCAGAGGAAACATCAACCTACAATACTTTGATCAGAAATCTCTTTAGGACCCTTGAGGCTTCTGGTCCACTAGTCCAAAACCAAGGAGTACCAGGTTCCATAACACCAGTGACAGACAGGAGCCTTCCACACTTACCAAGGACAACAGCTCCACCTTACAACCCGAGAGGAAATCAAGCAGCCACTCACCTTGCGTTTGTTCATCTCCAGGGCCTGCGTTCGGAGCCCCAGCTCCTTCTCACCTGTCCCAATGCTGCTTTGCAGCAGGTGTTCCTTCTCCTCCAGCTTACGTACAACCTGCAGCTGGGCATCCACCTTGGGAAGGGACAGGAGTACACAGGACTCAAATGCATGCTCTGCAGGTCTTCAGAGCTGGTATTAAAGCTGCATGCTAGAACGACCCTCCTTCCCCAGCACTGATGAGTACTTCTTCAGCTTGCCTCTCTCTCCCTGAACACAGGCACACCAGCAGTCTCAGAGCTGCACCCAGACCTCTCTGGTGAAGTTTAAAACTTAGCAGTCAAATAGTCACAAAATGATTGTAGTTTTTGGAAGGTGGCTTAGAGAATTGCTGCAAGGAAGCAATGAACTCCACACTAGTTCCAAGGATGGCAGAATATATACGCAGAAGTACTGTTTTGACAGGAAAATTACTTCCCACTTTCCTTCTCCCTTCTGCTCTCCATGGCAATGAACATGTAGGACGCTTTAGACTGTTTCTAAGACAGGCTCCTCTGAAGTCTGATGCAGCATACCTTGGTTGATTAGAGGAACGTTCCCTCCCATACTGATTTTGGCAGGGAATACAGTTAATTCTCTTAGCAGCTCATATGGTGCCGTATTTTGGATTTGGGAACTGGGAACAAAACAGTATCAATAACATACTACTGCTGTAGCTACTGCTGAAGAGTATTTACACAGCATCAAGACCTTCTGCATCTCGTGCTGCCCATCATGAAGTAAGCTGAGGATGCACAAGAAGCTGGGAGGGTACACAGCCACGACAACTGACCCTGAGTGGCCAAAGGGATATTCCAGAGCATAGGATGCTGTGCTCAACACTAAAATCTGGTGGAAAGCAGGAAGCAGAGGGGATGTTCAGAGTGACAACGTTTGTCTTCACAACTAACAATTACACACGAGGGATCCCAGCTTTCCTGGAGGTGGCTGAACACCTGCTGCCAATGGGAAGCAGTAAAATAATTCCCTGGTTTGCTTTGGTTGTGCACAGGGCTTTCCTTTAACTACTGAACTGTTTTATCTCAACCCACCCGTTTTCTCACCTTTGTCCTTCTGATTCTCTCTCCCAACCCAATGGGTGGGAGGAAGCAAGCCTCTGTGTGGGGCTTAGCTGCCTTCCAGAGGTGTCACAGCACCTCCACCTTCCCCTGTCAGCTCTGTTGTCCTCTCTCCTTCTCCCAGGTTACCTGTGTCTTCAGTGTCAACACTTGGTCTGCCAGCTCCTCCTTCTCCTCTTTCAGCAGCTTGTGGATCTGGTTGGACTTGATGCGTTCTGACATCAGCTTGAAGTTGGCATCATCCTTCTCTCGCAGCTGCTGCATCAAGCGGATGTTCTGCTCCTGCATGTCCTCAAAGGCTTGGCCTGTGACGTCCATTTCTGACAGCAGGGCCTCTTCCTCCTGAGAAAGAATCACAGGCTCTGGGAAAACAGTCTCCTATACGCCCCTACAACAAGCCTGAACATTTTACTCGGAGACAACAAATCTAGCACAGATGAAGGAAGAAGTCTCAGTATCAGAGAACAGTATCTTCCCAGCAACCAGAAAAAAGTGTTCCCTGGAAGTCTGCACCACACCAGAGATGCCCTGAATAAGAAGGTGCAGAAGAGATGGTCACCTCCACAAGCTTTCACAAGACAGTAGCTTGTTGGCTGACAAAATCAGCTGTGAGACAGTCCTTGCCAGAACTGGGCAGAAACTGAGTCCCATCTTCAGGCAGCTGGCTGAATAGCTGTAATATACAGTAGGCCAAGAATACTACACCAGGACAACTCAACAGCTTCCAATTAACAGGCTGTCAAGACCCTTAAACTCACTTAGGCCACTTCAACATTAAGGGTGTAAGCGATAAGACAGAACAGTTCTGCACCATATGGAAAAGAATCTGAATTCCAGAAAAGTCCATGTCCAGTCACTGGCTTGCCTCTCCCCTTCTGAAGTGTTTCTGCTCTCCTATCACTGGATTAGCCCTTTTTGTGGAAGGTGGTGTATCGTGGTTCCATGCACATGTATGAATTACATGAAATGTGCTGGTAATACTTTTAAAAATTGTAACTTCCCTCCTAAAGGCTGATCCAGCCAGCTCTCCTCTGCTCTTCACCTAGGCCACAAACAGTGAAAGATTCCCCACCACCTCCCGCCATGAGCTTTGTGACACTCTGGTGTTGGGGTTTTTTTATGAATATGGTTGGGTTTTTGGCTGGTTGTTTTTTTTTCCCCTTTGATAAATATGGAGAAAACTCACATCTCTGGCACACACAGACAGAAGTCCCTTCTCTCAGGTAATCTTCCTGGCTGTAACCTGAGGGCTGTGCTTTCCCAGGTGCTCCAGCTAAGACAGAACTCATTAGGAACTTCTCACCTGCTTAGCCATGGCTAGTTTCTTCTGTAAATACTCAATTTGTTCCTCCACTGCTCGGATCTTGCGGAGGGCATCCTCATCAGCCATCTTTTTACTCTCCTTTTTCTCCTTCTCTTCCAAGTCTTTCACCCTCTGCCTCAGTTCTTCCAGCTACAGTAAGCACAGAACAGAAATGACACTAAATGCAAGAATGTGGCCTGAACACTATTAAGAACATGTCTTCCACACAATTCTCTGAAACTCTGGATAAACTCCCTTCAAAGCATGGCAAAAGAAAACCCATTTCATCTTGACAGTATAGTGTATTACTGGCAGATGGACCACTAAGATGGGCTGTACGCCCAAGAACCTGATTTCAAAAACTTTGAAAATTCCACAGCATCTTTTACCAGAGCAGGATCTGAACGTGGACCTTGACAACTGGAAAAGTTGGGGGATGGAGGGAAGGAAGGGAGGCTGGGAGCAGGGAAATCAGGAATAAAATATACAGAGACCCAGACCTGACAGAACAGACATGGATACAAAGACAAGAAACAAACCTGCCCAGTCACAATAGCTGATAGGCTACCAAGAAATTACAGGCACGACTTCCAGGAAGGTCAACCTGGACTTTGCAACTGGTAAGAGTGTAAACCAGGGGTAGATCCTGGACTGGGAGGGCTGTGGGACTTTTTAGAGCTGTACAAATCCAGGCGGGACACTCAAGGGAAGGGAGAGCAAGGATGAACAAATTGAGGTTACATATCGATGGGTATAAAAAGGGCCAGTCACACATAACGTGGGGGCAGTAGGGACACACTTGTCTGGTTCAGCCCTGTGCATGATCACCAAGGCCTGTCCTATCTTCCTGTACCTTCTTATTAAATATCTCCTTCACTATCTCTGCGTATAATCCATGTCTCTATCTCATGTGTACATGTACTGCAAGGAATAAGTGCAAGCTACAGGTGAGACCTGTATGTGGAGAAGGTAAGAGGGCCCAGGATCACAGGAGCACGAGCTGCACAGAGGGACTGTGCTGGTGCTTGAGGGATCTGCACACTGCCTGTGAACTTAGAGACTGGTGTGTGTGCCTGCACTAGTGACATTCTATCACTACCAGCTGAAGAGGAGGAAGGGACTCGGCTGTTTATGCTTATATTTTATGAGTTCTGTACATGCTGCTGAAGGCAGCACAGTGTCTGTGGCAGTCTGACTGGCATGTCAGTGTCCTCTGTGTGTTCATGTCTCTGGGATGTGTGCTCAGCTTTACTGGTTGAATTTGCAGCTGAGAAAGCAGGAGCCACATTCCTCAGCCCAGGCAAAGGGACCATCCCTTCCCAGAGGAGGCCATCCCACAATCCCCCTGCTCATATCCACACTAACCCAATTGCTCTCCTAGCTGACAAAGATGAGAAAAGGAACAACCTCCTGTGAAGACAGAAACAACACAGTTCAGCTATGGAGCAACAAAAAGAAGTTTAAAGTAACATGCTAATGAGGAAAAGGGAAGAGAAATGAGATTTACCTCAGCTTTTGCCTTCTTCTCAGCTGCCATCAGCTGTACTTTGTCTCTCTGCTCTTTTGGGGCAGAGCGGTACATATCTAGCAACAGCTTCATCTCCTTCTGGCTCTCCTGGGCCTTCCTGGAGTCAGGGAAAAGGACAACTGTGAGAACACAGCAGGAAAGCCACACTGTTACACATCCAGCATCGGAGCAATGTTCTATTTCCCACTGGAGTCATCCATGGCTCACCTTACTGCAACAACGTGTAATAGCCAAGGTACAGGCTGGAGGCTAAATAGAAACACATTCAGGCTGAAAAGCCAAGAGAAGTGGAGTGGGGGGGAAACATGCACCCTAACACTAACCAACAGACTATCCATCTGCACTTTGGTACTGATCCAAGACAGGGAAGACCACTGTGCCTTTTACTAATACCCTGCTGCTGTAAAGCTTTACACAATCGTTATGACAGAAGCAGCTAAAGATTACTCGACCCATACTGCAAAGTCATTTAGATTGCAAAAGACCTCTAAGATTATCAAATCAAACTGTTAACCCAGCACTTCCAAGATCTACCTCATGTATCCACCACCATAAAGTACCTAATTTGGTGGTTAATGATTTAGACTGTCCTAGAAGAAACATTATTACATTGTCCAAATGTAGTAATTTGTAATTTACCCTCCGTAACCAGATACAGAGGGAGCCAGAAAGCTCTCACTCCAGGAAAGCTAATCTCCTAAGAGCACGCTGCAAGCCATGTCGCACTAACAGCCCTGTCTGGGCACCACTCAGGCAGGAAAGGGAGGGACAACAACTCTTACTTCAGCTCAGCTTTCAGTTGCTTGATTACTTCAGCCTCCTTTTTTCTTCCATCTTCATGCTTCCCTTTCTCCTTCTCTTTGGACTCTCTTTCCTTCTCAGATTCCTTCTGCTTCTGCTTTTCCCGCTCTCGTTCCTTTTCCTTCTCTTTTTCTTTCTCTCGCTCTCTCTCTTTCTCCTTTTCCTTCTCTCGTTCCCTTTCCCTCTCCCGTCTCTCTCGCTCCCGTTCCTCTTCGTCTCGCCTGGCCTTCATTTCATTAATATCTTCAGAAGCAGCCTTGGGGACAGACACTTGGGCAGAAGGATCATCAGGCTCCTGCTTGATCTCAGGAGGTTCCTCCTTTGTGTCTTCAGTGCTGGACTGGGACTGTAAGAGAGCACTACCACTGCGAGAACGGATCTGTTGTGGAACAGCACGAAAGAAGACACAGAAGAAAACAAACCTTTGAGTTTTTAGCCAGAAGTCTACCTTACCCCATTTCCCTGGTCTTCTCAGATCCATGCTTCCATGTCCCCTCCGTAACTGCTTCTATTTTTCATGGAGCACTACACAGCTTCAAAGGAGACCACTCATCTGGTAAGTGGAAGCAGTGGAGTGCAAAGCTCCACTGAAAACTTCATTGCATCCTGCACCCCGTATCAGAAAGGCTGACTGCAGGCAGGGGTGACAGCATTCCTCCTCCTATGCACTTCCTGCTCTATTCTGGCATTCCCCACTCCAATACCTTGCTCAAGTCAGACTGGGCCTCCCTCAGTTTGCGCTTGTATCTCAACACCTCTCCCTTCAGCTGGTGGTTGTGATTTTGGAGGCTGCTGATGAGGTGACGCATCTCCCGATTAATTGGGCCTACAGTAACAGAAAGACAACTGTAATAAACCACACTTTTGCCAGCCTTCTGCAAGGACATTCACAGAGACAGAGAACAAGCTAGGTGACAATGACAAAGAACCACAATAAGACTACTATCATTCTGCCACACAACAGAGCAACGCAACACATTCAGAGAAAAATTCATTCCAATTTTAAACACAACCGTAAGTCTTTGTAAATCCTTATCCTAACTTCCCCTTAACATTACTTTTTTTACCCCATATTCCTATGGAAAATGTGTCATGCTATAAAAAAAAAATCTCTACAATTTAAATGCTGCTTTAGAAATAACTTATTTACTTTCTCTGATGAAATTTGAAAAATACTGGTTTCCTACCCAGGCTGTCATTTCAAAACAGTAAGTTAATCCCAAAACACTCTTGTCATAAACCAGATTATTAGCAAAATGTATGTATTCTGCAACATCTAAAAGGAAATCAGGTAACATGGAACTGGCCTCCCAAGAGACATGTGAAGAGCTTTGTTTTTTGAGACCGAGACCTTCCATAACAAGCATTTAACAATAACAAAGAATAAAACCAGGTGTTTCCTGCAACACAGCCACTAGTGGGCACTGGGGGAGAGAGGGGCTGTTTGTTCTTAAGCAGAGCAGAAAAACTCCATACCCGCTTGTTCATTGGCAGCAAGTGTCTGTTCAAACTCTATCCTCAGCATCTCGTACTCTTTGCGGACCTGTGCCAGGGTGTCCTCTAGCTGAATCACCTCTGTGCGCAGCTTCTTGTGAAGGCTGACCTCGTCCCTCTAAGGAGGAAGAGGGAGACAGAGCTTGGTGCTGTAACCCACGTGTCTCTCTCACCTCAGCAACGTGAGGTACCACAACAGATGAGTTATCGCGAGGAAGATGAATTTCCTGAGCACTCCCAGAACCACCCAGGCCCTGCAGAGGTGAGGAGTGGGATGACAACGCTCCCTAGTCTGACGGGGCAGAGCTATTACCTCAATTAGTTCCACCTGGCGCTGGTGTGTGGTGCGGGTGCCATGAAGCAGGGTGCGGGCCTCATCCAGATGTGCCTTCAGCTGGAGGCTCTCATTATACAAAACAGAAAATTGGGACTGCATGCAACGATATTCTGGGGTCTCCTTCACAGCCTCTTCCACCGTTCGTCGCAGCTCAACCTGGTCAGGACACAAGAAGATGCCACAGAACAAAAGTTATCTCCTTGTCTTTGGTCTCTCTTTTGCAAGACCAGAGAACAGCGAATCAGGCTGCCACAAGCAAAGGCAAAAGCAGAACTTTAACAGCATTGCTGAAGTTGATGCAAGTGATATGCTTCAGTGTCACTTCACAAAGCCCGTGCTTTCTCTTATATGCACCAGGCTGTTTCTCTTGCACAGACACATGGCAACAGTTTCTGACTCTCAGGTTCTGCAAGTTTCTTTCAAAAATACGAGCCTGTAGAACACAATATACCTTTTCAAGGGATTTACTGTAAAACCATCATCACCTAAATAAATGGGCACACAGAAAAGTATGATAGAGAACTAGAAAATTACAAGTGCAAGTAGCCATTATGTTACCTTTCTACCATTGAGAGACATAATGGCCGAAAGGAATCATAGCATCACCATGGCTGGAAGGGACCTCCAGGATCATCCAGTCCAACCTTCCTCCCAACTTTTCCCTAACCACTAGACCATAGCCTCAAGTGCCACATCCACTCGTTTTTTTAACCCCTCCAGGGAGGATGACTCCACCACCTCCCTTGGGCAGCCTGTTCCAGTGCCTCACCACTCTCTCAGTGAAGTAATTCTTTCTCGTATCTAATCGAAATCTTCCCTGGCACAACATTAGGCCATTTCCCCTTGTCCTTTCATCAATAATTTGGGAGAAGAGACCAACATCACCCTTACTACAACCTCCTTTTAGGTAGCTGCAGAGAGCAATAAGGTCTCCTCTCTGTCTCCTCTTCTCCAGACTGAACACCCCCAGTTCTCTCAGCTGCTCCTCACAAGGCATGTTTTCCAGCCCTTTCACCAGCCTTGTTGCCCTTCTCTGGACCAGCTCAAACACCCACTCCAGCACAAGACAAATGAAAGAAAGGAGAAATAGAAAATCTGAATTTTCCCTAAAAAAAACAAAAGTTAGCAAATGATTGTGACTACCAGCAATGAAGGAGACACATACATACACAAATACAGTTTAATACTAATTAGGAGAAGAACAAAGCTGTAATCCAGATGGTGTTTCTCTCAAAATAAACTCAGGTGGATAAAGAGAGTTCAGAGATGCCTCATGATGGTTCCTGCAATCTCCTCTCTGAAATTTAGGTTATCAGCCTATTGTAAGCAATGTCTGAGCTAACAGATCTGTTAATGCAAGATAAAATTTAGTTTATTCTCTATGTCATATATTTACCTACTGCAGAGCCACAGTTTTTTGTGTTCCCACTCTAAGACCTAAGAAACTCATATGCTGTTTCCTGTCTATCCTTTGAGTCACACTGGGAGAGATTTAATTTCATCAACTCTTCAAGAGCCTGGCTCTCCTACATAAGTTCCCTCATTTTTGCAGCTCTCTGATTCCACTTGCATGGGGCTGAGGGAAGGTGGAAGAGTAGTCAATACTTGCTGAACTCAGTTTTAACTAGACATTACTAAAATGTACTGAATAGATCAGAATGGGAAACAGGAAATAAGAAACACTGTTCTCAATAATGGCCACATGGTGTCACCAATGCACTGAACTGTGAGCCACACCAACTTGCCAAGCTGTACCTTGTACTGAACAGAACCCAGCTCAAGAGCAAGTACAGAACAATGTAACACTAAAGAGTTTTTCTGCAGACACAGCACAGCCCACAGGACAGAGGGCATCAACCACCCAGAAAACCTTCATCATCAAATAGGTACAGACATCCTACCTTGAGTTTTTCATTCTGTGTTGTTACTTCCTCAAGATCCTGGCGCAGTTCCTCCAACTCATTGAGGCGATTCCCAGCAAGCTCTTTATTCTCTTCCAGCTCTGCATTCATCTCCTCAAACTGTGTGGGACAAACTGCTTGTAAATCCTACTGTTAATGTATCTACTGAAAGTAATAATGAAGTAACTGTTACAGAGTAACAGAAATCACATACTTAACAGTCAGGTAACATCACCCAATGAGACAGCCTTCTACTTTTGCTAGGTCTATTTTATACGTAGAAAACTTGCACACAGACAAAATGTCTTGCCCAGACTCACCCAGATTTGTGACAAATGAGGTATCTAAATTCTGTCCCAATCTACAGACCTATGCACAAGCTCTCCCTGACTTTACTCTTCCCCCTGCCCACAGCCAAGCCCCTGACATTACCTTGCGTGCATTAATGGTGATTGTGCCCCCATAGAGGCTGCTCCCAGCTCCATACACCTTGTAGCCTTTGGAATTTACCTGTAAAAAAGGCAACAGATTTCATCAATACCTGATCAAACACCAAGACTGCTGATACAGCACATTCAGGCCCAAAGATGGTACACTACAGATTCTCACTTCTCATGGCAAAGTACCATTAAGACGAGGCAATGCACCTCAAAACTACCCCCATTTCTCTGGTTTCCTGGCAAAGAGGATGGTGCTTACTCGTTCCAGAACATCTGCCAAGTGCCGGTTGAGCCTCTGCTCCCTCTTGCGTATCTTGTCAATATCCCACTGAAGGTCATCAATCATAGTCTCCAGAACAGACACCCGAGATTCTGCTGTCTCCACTCTCTCTTGCAGCTTGGAGTACTGCAACCAAAACGGTGTTTCAGCCAGCATATTGAACAGCATCATCACTTCCTGACCCTGCTCAGCATTGGTTTTTCTTTTACTCATCATAACCTGGATTCACGTGCTTTGCACCCATCTTTTGCTGTGATGACAGAGTACTCAATGAACTGTCCTGAATTTTACACTGTCTCAATCCCAATACAGTAATGAAAGAACAACAAAAATTAAAATGGAGGGAGAGCAAGAAGCTAGTAATCCTGGCAGAGTACAGAGGCAGCCACCTCAGCCTACTTAGTGCCATTTAAAAAAAAAAAAATTCCAGTCCGTATGTTCATCTACTCTAAAGACCACTGAAGTGCTCAAAGGTCTAACACTGAGCAAGGCCAGCTGTATAAAGGAACTGAAAGCTCTGAAACAAATATGTGAATCCCTTAACAATTTGCATCACCTTGTAATTAATGTCATTACACATTCATATGCGATCCACAGAAATCAATGAATCTGAAATGCCAAGGATGTCACATCAAGTGTCTCAGATGTTTAAAAAAGCACCTTAGCTCCTTTAAGAAGCTAAGAACTTCCACTTCTGCTGTTCTCTTACAAAATTAAATCAGGTCAGCTCACTAGTTTGGTTATGCTTTTTCATTCACAGTTCATAACATGCCAATCAATCCAAATCACACTGAAAGATCTGTGTAAAGTTCTCCACAACAGCAACCCTTTCCATAACATTTGTGCAGCAGGGAACTTTCAAACGGTGTTGCTTCTGTCCTTCTCCAAGGCAATAACCTGCCTTCCAAATATGATCTCCACCAGGTATTCTAAGCAGGACCCCAAAGCAGATTTCTTTCTCTCTCCTTTTTATACCTCCTGAGACATGATGCGGTGCTTCTCCTGAAGAACATCAGCCAGCTCCTGCAGCCGTCCATTTTCATGTGAGAGATAGGCATTGAGCTCTACGACTGCTTCCTCCATCAATGAAATATCTGAAAGACGCAAAAAAGATAAGGAAATAAAGGGAAGTCAAAGAAGACTGGGGTTTAATTCTTAAATAACAAACAAAGAAAAAAGAAATTTCTGGGGTTATCTTCTGCCTGCTTATCTCTCCAGCAGGTGGTTCACGAGGGTCTGATCTCCAGCCACACAGAGCTTTGACTTGGAAAAGGCTGTACAGTTTAACATACTACACATTGCTGGTTGTCACATTACCATCCTCCAATGCCAGAGGTCATTCCAGCTGTGCATCACCAACACAGAACATGCCCTTGTAACCCACTAACACCCTAATGCAGATCAAATTCATGCATAAAACTGCTACAACAGGTAGCTTGAGCCAACATACCAGACAACTACAGCAACTGAGAACAGGCTCACTCTGCACTAAGGCCAATGCTACTACAGCATTTAAGACAGCCAACTAAGGACAGCAATGCTTCATTACAACAATGCCAGATCTGCTACAGCTCCTCAATCAGAGCTTATAGAAGGCTCTGGACAGCAGGCAAACCAAGTATGAGTTGATATTCCACTGAAATTTTCATCCAAAAGGTTAAAAAAAGGACAGCTAGGTTTCAAGGTTCAGCTGTAATCTCTACATTCTCAGGTGCAGGAACACACTACTGACACAAACAAGCCTTCCCTTATCCCAACAAACAGCACAAAGTTCTCAGCATTCAAATTTAGAGGTAGTTAAAATACACTTCTGGCATGTAGTACTAGATTTTAATTAGAGGATTTGGCTATTAAGCTTGGAAAGCTAAGCCAATTTATTTTGGAAAATAAATGAGTAGAGAAAGACTAGGCCTTAACATTTACAATGCAGAATCATGTCTAAGCTGGTGAAATCCTGAGGTCTGAACTCCAAGCCCTGAATTAAGGTTGACATATGGGTGATTCCCACAGCCCTTCATACAGAGGGGGTGAGTTTGCCTTATAGCTTCCCCCCAGGGTGCGGCCGGCCCTGCAGGGAGAGCCAGAAGGGAAATGAGCCCCAGGGGTCCCGCAGTGAGTTGACAAAGGTCAGGGGTCTGCTTGGGGATAAAAGCTGGGACCACTGGCAGGGAGTCAGGAGTGTCTGTCTGTGGAGTGCACTCCCCAGAGCTTCCTGGTTCAGGGCAGACCTCCTGACTCTCCCTGGAGCTGGGCCCTGCTCTGTTTAGGCCTTTGTGAATGCGGGTCTATCAGGTGAGAGTCGCCATGTGGGCACCTTTCTCTTATGTGTTTAACTGGCTGGTCTGGCTGTTTCCCATGCCAACTGTGGGCAACCTCGGTTCACTGTTTGTACCACCTGTTGTGGGCCGAGTCATGTCGTTTGTGGGATCGTTGGGGGTGGTGTCATTTATGTACCAGCTGATTGATCTGTTTGTACCCCCAGTGATCATTCATGGAATGTCCTTCTTGTATACAACACAGTCTGTGTATTGGTTCATCTTCCTGCTGGTGCTATCATTTTTGTTGGGCCTGGTCATTGGCTAAACAGCTGGGAAGACATTCTGGAGGATTCTGGAGTATCAGCCTCCTTGGTCATACCTCCACTATTCAGCTTGTGGGACAGCAACTCCACCTTCTCCTGCAGCTTGTCATACAGTGCCACAATCTGGGCAACAGCACGGCGGGAGGACTCCACGCGCTCCTGCAGCTGGGACTCTATCTCCTCACTGGTGCTGCTGGCTAGAGTGGCTAGGAAGGAGAATGCCGGCTCCAGTCCTTCACCTGGGAACACAAAGAGGTGCAAATTCTAAGTGTGCTCTGGCAGACAACACAGCACCCTTCAGAAAGGGACGCCAACACTCTCCACAGCTGAAACCCATGCTGTCCACCGTCCCCGGCCAGGCGCCTCACCTCGCTCCCTCTCATCTTTGCGCTCCTGATTGCTGTCTGAGTCTGGTTCAGGTTCCGGTACCACTAGCGCTTTCCTTTCAGTCAGAAGGTCTCCAACACTTTGGTCCAGGTCAAAACGTTTAAGGATGATACGGATATTTTCATCAAACTGAATGACGGGACAGGCGAGACAAGATAAAGAACGGATGTGAACAAAAGGAGCGCAGTGGAACAGAGGAAGAGAACAATGGATATAAAATAAAGCCTGTAACTCACTTGATTCCAGTAGCGATTGATAATCAGCAGAGAGGCATCATCAGTGGCCTGCCGACGCTCCAGCTTCTCAATGTGCTCCCGCAGCTCATCCTCAATGGCCTGCCGCTGGTCCAGCATCTCCGCCAGCTTCCGGTTCTTGGCCTGCAGGGTCCGGATGTCCAGCTCCTCCTGCACACAGCCACAAGTCAGGGCACACGCCTCACGAGCCAGACCACTGGGCTCATGCACAAGACAGACACGTTTTTGTTCCCGGGGAAAAAAATTAAAACAGATTGAGCAAGGGTGTGCACGGAAGACATACCGTTGAAGAAACACCACCCAGCTTAATGGTCTCCACTGTGGTCCCCGAATCTTCAACCCCCACCTTCTTCTCTGGGGGTGCAGAAGGGCCAGGCTCTCCAGCCGTCCGTTTATTGCCAATTCCAGACATGGTGGCTGGAGCGTACAGACTGCCACCTTCTCAAAGTTCTTCCTGAACATCAAAGAACGCTATTAAAAAAACCACAGCAAACACAGCCCTTCACAATCAACTTGATTTAGGGCTTTTACACAGTACAGACCACGTAACTCAAAAAAGGTTCTGGAAAATACCGGCCAAACATTAAGTCTTAAAAGACACCACTAGGATTAGCACTGCAAACAGCAAGTCAACAGGAAAAAAATCCACTGCTCTGTAAAGATAAAATGGAAGCACTGTACCTTATCACACTCTCTGGAAAAAAATCTTCATGCAGGCTCAGTTCCTGCTTTTTTGGCCTCTCTCTGTATTAACAAAAAATAGCTGGGTTAGACTTTAACAAGCAACTGAGACTGTGTATATGTGGCACCAGTTCAAATCATACCAACCAAATTGTTCTCATACCAAAATTCAAAGTCAGTTAAAGCCTAGGGCAGCAACACCTTGAAGATGAGCCCTGTAAGAACTTAAAAACCTTACATATCCTATGGAACTGGACAGCGATGCTCAAGCCAAGGTCTTCGAAGACCCCTTTGAAGAGTTTTCCTGTGTATCAGGAGAGACACAGATATGTTTGAAGAATACTGATCCCCAAATTAATGCAAGCTGAGAAGCTCTGGACTGCTAGTTACAGAATCACAGAATCGTTGAGTCTGGAAGGGATCCCTGGAGATCACCTGTTCCTGAATGAAGCAGGGTCAAGCAGCTCAGTTCATCAAGGGCCTTAAGTACTCAGTACCTCCAGAGGTAGAAACTCAGAAATGGTGCTGGGCAAGTATTTGATAACTCTCATCATTAAAACTGTTCTTCCTTATGTTAGAAAACTATTTCTTGCAGTTCCCTAGGATATTATTTAGCAAAACAACAAATATCTCCCTAAAGGGTTTAAAAAAAAAAAAAAAAAAAGCTACTGATGCAAAATGAAACCAATTACATCTTCCTTGGACATCAGAAGCATTCTTCTCCCATATTCACTGATACTGTGCCATGTCCACCTGCAGATCTCTCTCTGCCTCTGAACTACAAGGAACCCAAAAGTAAATGGAATGCAGATCGCACAACTAAGACTTGCACTGTTCCATTTAAATCTGTAAGAGCATTTACACTTAGGCTTAGGGTTATAAACTGAATCTGCCAGTTCTTAGGCACTTGCTTTACTTGAGCAACTTTACTGAAAGTAATATTTAAGATTAAACTGGTACACTTCTTTGCCAAACCTTACCATTTAACAAGCATTGTAGCTTGGCATTGCCCTTACTATATGCAAAATAATATAAAAATTATTTCTACATGAGGTCCTGTAACAGAACATTTAGTATTCCTGTAACCTTTTACCTTCTCAAATACATCTCAAAATTTAAGAACTTAACAAAATCAACTTCCACTTAATAATTTTCCTCCTTTTAGCAAAGGAATTCAGTGGCTATTGATCTTAGTTATAATGACTAGACCATTGGAGAGGGGGCAAGGAAACAGCTGCCTCTAAAAACATCTGCTACTTATCAGTCCAGAGAGCCAACAGTGAGCCTGCTGCCTTTCACATTTTTTATTCACAGGCAAAATATTTCTTCCATTGCCCTGACACCATCCCTCAGAGCTCCAGCTCCTCCTACTATCTACTATCTACTATCCCCACTACTGACTTCTTCACATACTGCATGCCAGGATCTGACCCATTAAGTTTTCACAACAACAGACCCGCTCTTTCCTCTAGGTGCTCAACCTTCCCCTCAGTCTCAGGCTATTCACGTCCTTCTTTCCCCAGACTGATCACACTGTCTCATCCAAGATTGACTGTCCTGTCCTACCAGGGAGTCAACTTCATCTTAATCCCCCTCTTATGGTTAAAACCCTCCTCCATGGAGCCTAAAATACCCCTCCCCCTGGCCCTCCCCCCACCTACCACTGCCCAAAAGTTAGCCACTCTGACCATCACCAGTCACCCGCAGAAAGCCAACTTCCTCAGGCCTAATACGTAGCCACTCACCTACAACCCATGCCCAACACCGTGTCTGAGCCCTTTCACACGGTCCTGGCACCTTCAGCCAAGAAACCTCTAAACGCCCACCATTTAAATCCCTACACCCCTCAGCCGCGCTATGCTTCCATTTCTCTTTTGTATAATACCCCCTTGGAGCTCCCCAAAAACCTGTCGTGGCCACCC